TAACTCTGTTAGCATTGCATTTGACACTGCAATGCTAAATTACATCTTTATAATTGTTGCTACTTGTTTCACTTTACTTGACATAAAATAAATTGTTATTGACTGTTATTAAACCATTTGACAGTGTAATAAAGCTTAATGAAATCTTTATTGTTGGTCCTACTTGTTTTGCTTTATTTCAGGTAGTGGAAATATTAATCGCTGTTTTGTTAAAGCTTTTGATAGTGTAATAACAATTAAATCATTATGACTACTATTATGACATATTTGTGACATGATTCTTGGTTAATATCAAGTTGTCATAACAAAGACATTTTGAATAATGTCAACTTTGTATTAAAAGTGTCATTATTTACCGAATGACGCTTTATGACAACAGTCATAACTATTCATGAAGACTTATTGATGTTCATGACAGGTGTTATGTCAGTCTTATTCACACCCCTTCAAATAAAGTGAAGGGGTGTGACAGAGCTGAATGACATTCCACTTTCTTTGCATAGTTAAAATGTCACTGTGTTCAATATTTTATATGGATACAAACAATAAATTTTTTGTCTGTGCTCTTAATTTCTGTTTGTGTCAGCTATTTACTAAATGAATAACTTGCTAAACCCTTAGCCAGGCCTGCAGCTTATTTTATCATACTCAGTGAATTAGATCTGTGACTTCTTCAAACAATAAGACAAATGTGATTGCTTCTTATCGTGTATGTTGGGTTTTTAATATTTGTTGTGTGTCCCTTACCTGTAAGGTACGTATTATGCGATGAGTTGATGAAATACTGCGATAATGGAAAGTTCATGTCTTCAGACTGATCCAGTTTCTCAGGAGGAATGACACCGTTCTCATCACTGGACAGATAGCTGGAAAAAGCCTGGAGAGAGATAACACCTAAAGACAACATGCATACAAAAACACAATGTCACACAATATATGAAGTTAAAAACAATTTACATTTAGAATGAGTACGAAAAGATGTTATTTTGTGCTAAAAGATATTTTGTAAAAGTGTGCACAATGGCTTAAAAATCCTCTATATTGTTTATAATAAAACAACTTTATGATTTTTTTTTACAGTCCTGAATATGTTAAGAAGCTTTCTCTCTACTTGAGCTTTAGCACCTTGGTGGCTAGGTCTGAAACAGGTGTGGGCATAAGAGTCTTTTAATATAGTTAAAAGAGAATTTATGTTAAAATGGAATTAATGCTACAACGGAAAAGCTGCCGAAAATAAATTTATGCTAATACAGAATTCATGCTTAAAAGGAAATTATGCTAAAAAGGGAATTTGTATGAAAATGCTAACATAACTTTTGCATTTTGTTGAACCTTCCAGGCCACCACAGAACCATAGAAATTGGTACTGGAAGATCAATGCATTTAGTCTGGACCTCATCCCTGATAAGTAAATATGTTTTGCAAAAGTGATGCAACACTTGTTAGAGATGAGTCTTTCTGGTTTTAAATACAAAATGCAAGAGGTAGTCACACCAAGTACCACAAATGGTAAACTGTATTGATCTGAGTAGCGCCGGTTGTAGTGAACCAAAAAAGGCATTGGAGAAAAAAATAAAACCAATAGCCCATTCTAGAACCAGAGACTGGTTTGATGCTCTGCAGAGGTGCCCCAAATAATCTTTAGGTACATGCTTTTTGTTTTAAGATGATTGAAACAAAGTGTAGAATTTTAAAAAATACACTAAAACATTTTGATGCCTTAGTTAGATTTATACATCTTATTTTACCTAAAGTATTACATGTAAACACCAAGCTATCTCTTAAATCATTATATTTAGACATTAAAATGTGTTTCAAGCATATCTCAATCACTTGGGATAAAGAAGGCTTTCACTATGTATACCTTGATTTAGATTGTCCTGGTCATGTTGGTAACGCTCCATCAGAGTGTGTGTCTGTGTGGGGCGAAGAGGGGGGTAAAGAATTTCATTGAGCCTCGGGTCTCTCTGCTTGTTGTTGATGAACTCAGTCATCTGATCGACGGACATCCCCCCACCCTCGCCTCCTCTGCAGAAAGGAGCGCCGTCAGTTTAGCACACAACAACCATGGGGCAAAAATATGGAGCTCATGAAGAGTGGTCTAGTAACCCTTCATGCTAAAATGTCCTTTTCCTACTGATCTCATGTTAATTATTCCTGTATTGTTGCCTTTTGTAAAGAATCAAAAATCAAACATTACTTCAAAAACAGGACTTCAGCTTTTTTTGCTTCTGACTATTTTCCTCAAGAAAATTCTTCTACTGTTAATTGGGAAATTCAAAACACCTTGATAAAAATCACCCACAAATATTACACTAGTAAGACATTTTCTTGACTAAAAAAAGGTTCAAAAGAATTCTAAATGATATGGATGCTGTTTTCCTACTGCAGTTTGAAGATGTTGCCGAGTTCAGGACGAGGACACAGACTCTCCAAGAAGTTCCTGTAAACATCCAAGGTGAAGTCCTCCAGTTTGATGCTGTCGCCCTGGTCAAATAAAGAAGACACAGAAACAGGTTTAACTGTAACATCAAGAGGGGAAAACGGCTAAGTCAGATGTGTTTCTGTCTGAAGCTGTGGGTGTTTATTGTTGTTTCTGTATTTGGATTCTTTTGGGTGGCTTATTAATTTTCAATAAGGTCTTTTAGTGTCAGTTTAGTCTTTTTGTTGAATGTCTTGCTTTTTCATTGTGATTTGCTCTTTGTGTATTTAGTTTAGAGGTGGTTGGTTCATAGTGCTCCAATTGCTTGAACTTGGCTCAGTAAGTTAAGTAAATTTTCAGTTTTTCAGCCATCACTCTCCCTGTCTACTTGTTCCTCTGCATTTGGGTCCTATGTTAAGATGAAACATGATGGATGAATCTGGCCACAAAGACTCAGCAGAAATCTTCCCCTCTGAATCAGTGCTGTGGGTTCATTATGATAGGGAGGCTTGGACTTGCTCTCCCTCATGGCGACTGCCTGGAACAGTGGCGGAGGCCTGTCCTTCTGCTTCCCTCTTTCGTCCCGGTGGAACCGCCCTCACCAAATATTCTGTGGACTGGCTATAGTCTCTGTTTACCCCAGAGCCTCAGCCAACCTCGGCTGATGTTCTATCATTCCCTACATCACCTGAGCCTCCCCAGATGGCCTCTAGTCCTTAAGCTCAGGCTGCATCCACAGCCCATACCTTACCTCAGAGTGCATGAACAGCGTTCCTGAACCCCTCCAGTGCTCCCTAGTCAGTCTCAACTCAGTGCCCTAAAGGCCAAACTTCATTTCAGAGCTCCAGAGCGTGTGTGCCACCTGCTGTACCCCCAGGACCACCTGTTGTACCCTCCAGCCAGCTGTAGTTTTCACACTGGAAATCTCCAGAGTCTGCCTCTCAGTGCTTCCTTCAGAGACTTCCTCTGTTCTTCTGGCCTACCACTTCTTTGCATGTGGGTCCTATTTCTACACAAAACTGGACAGTTTCAGTCCAAAATTGACATTTCTAAAGCATGAATAGCTCCATTTCCATTGACCCTATAATCCCAATGAAATCCTTTGTATCCTTTGTTTCTGGTTTCATAAACCTCAGTGTGTGCTTTAACAGAATCCCAATTTGGATTTGCCAAAGTAATTTAGATTTTGAATGACAGAGGAACAAATGAAGTCCAAGGAACTCTGAAGGAGGTCCGTAATTTAATGCCAATAGGAAGCTACGAAGAAGGTGCTAACTTTTACAACATTAGCCAAAGGTGAACTAACATCAGTATTTTCATGGTGCTTAAAAATTATTATCATTTTATCTGCTACTGTTTCTGTTTACTATTGGGAACCTAATATCTGAAATTGTGTTATATTCATTGTCACCTTCATCTATTGTTTGCTGCATCTTTTTATAATCTAAACTTCTGCTCACCCGTCCATATGGCAACTTGCAGCTCTCGAGGGCATTCTCAATTCTCTTTCTGTCCGACGAAAACAGCCGGCCAATACTGCAATAGGAAAAACGCACAACCTCATTTAGAACCTTTAACAAAGTTAATTAAATAAACCTCAATAAAAGCTCTTCTACCTTTATTTTACCTCCTCTTCTGGCATAAGTCCCTTTTGATAAATATCTCTGCATCTTTAGACCTCTTGAATTTTGTGGAACTCCATCCTTCCTCCTTTACTTTTCCAAGACACCAACTGACCTTAATTTGCTTCTAAAAAGCAGCTTTCCTTCATACAATGTCTTATGTGCCTCATAACTCTGGCACTGGTTGATTACCAGGTCAGTGCTGAATTAGGTACCTCCATGAATAATGTCCCTGTTTTTGCTTCCCCAAGTGCACATGGAATTAGGTTTAATCTTGGAAGCAAGGGACACGGAAGAGCAAAGTTTAAGTTTGTGAGTGTCTCTGCAGATTTTCTCAGGCTATTTCTTCACATTTACAAGCCTATGTGCCTAAAGCCTAATGTTCAGACAGAACACAGACTGATGATGACAAAAGTAATCATGAAAGTCTTACTTTTTCACAGGAATTTTTCCCTCTGCGTTTGGCTGAAGAGTTAGCCTGACATACCTGAAACAAAGAGAAAAGTAATGAAACATTTTAACAATTTGTTGAGTTACAACTGTACGCTTTACTATCCCCTGTTGGGGTTTTATGAGACTACATTTTTCAACAAAAAACCATCTGAAATGTGTGACAGGTCATTGCATTCAGTCCTCCTGAGTCAATACGTTGTAGAATCAGCTTTTGCAGCAGTGACAGCTGAATCTTTTGGGGTATGTCTCTACCAGCTTTATCCATCTTTACCCATCATCAATCACAGGTTGCAATTAACATGAATGCAAAAGAGTTCAGCTCTGTTTTTATCTGACCAGACTTCCTTCTTTCCCACAGTTGCTGTGTCTTCAGTTGGTTGTAGAAAACCAGATGAGTTTAGATGTGTAGATGATTAGACAGGTGTGTAGAGTTTAGGTGTGTAAGCAAAGGGTTTTTTTGTCGTTTAGGCTGTGTGTTCACACAGATTGGGGATTTTGGAAAACATAAACCATCATTTTTGAAAACGCCAGTTTCATGTTTTCAGTAACTGCGTTTCCATGCAACTATAAAATTGCATGAACTGAAATTAAGAAATTACAAAATTAAATTTGCTTAATGGAAGCATGCTAATTTTGAACAAACTCAATAAAAAGTTCTGACACTAGGATGAGATATTTTTTTGGCCTGTATCCAAATAGATGCATTTTGCAAAACTGCAATTGAAACACTTTTTTTACATCAAACAAGTCACGTGATGAACAGCAGGATGTTACTACCGGCAGAAACAGCAAACAAGACGACAGGAAGTGGTAGGAGGATGATGGCTTGTTTTTGTTTTTCTGACAAAGCGCAGCTGGCTCCACAAGAGCTCTCACAGTATCACGCAGTTCATAAAAAGTTGTGTCATTCCAATGTGTTGAATCATAACTCATCTGTAAAATTACTGACTACAATTTCCTGAAAAAGCTGCATATGTGGCCGTTCCCAAGTAGGTGGGGCTTGTTGCTCCAACACCTGTATAAGACGTTTCCTTTGATAGCTGATAGATGATCAGCGACACCATCATGGCTGCATTATAAATATATCTCATGAATGTGTTTACACCTGTCATTGCCAGGACTTTTAATGACTTATGGCGTTTAGAAACTTGTTTACATGTGACTATAAATGTATATATAAAATAAAGTAAAAAAAAGTTTTTTTACTTGGACTATTTTGCTAAGAGATTCCCTTTCAAATTAAGATAATAGAAAGTGGTTCTAGCGAAAGTGGTTCAATTATCATGTCACTTTTTTGTAATTTGCGTCTTAAATCAGTTTCACGACTCTTTGTGCCTCTAGCATTTATATGGTGACAGGATGAGAACATCAGCTTACCCACAATTTATCCATAGTGTATCACATCAGCAATATTTTTATTAACAAAGTTTTAAAATATTTTTCATCCATATATTGACTTTCTCCAGTAATGTGTGCGCGTGTGTCCAGCCTCACGCTTTCAGCAGACTGTGGTCTCTGTTGAGATTGTGGCTCAGCAGGTTAGTAGCCAAAGAAAACACCTCCTCACACCATAACTGAAAAACAAACAAAAATAAAGCCCACACATTTTATCTTCACTGTCCTAAACATCACAATCACCCCTAACTGTCCCAGAAGCAGGAACCAGCTCTTTACCTTGGCTTCGTCCTCCTGCGAAGCGATGAAGTTCAGTTGGCCAACGTTGACCAGGTCTGAGGCGGTGACCACGGTAACCATGCGGTTCTCCAACCGACCAACGAGGTTTCCCACATCGAGCAGCTCCCGCAGCTTGGCTTCCTGTCAGAGGACAAGGAAAGAAAAATGTTAGATGAAGTGGATTCATAGTGATGATGGTGGATTTAGAAAGATTACTGTAAACATTTAAGCAATAAAGAGATTTTAAATCATTCACCAATTAATTTAATTTATTAGACAAATTTGGAAAACAGACATGTTTTTTTTTAAGATTTACAAAAATTTTAATACATTTCTAATGATTGTTCTGTTTTTTTATTACAAGACCACTTGGAAACTTCATTATACAGAAGACCCAAAATACATTCATTTCTTAGGCAGAAATGCAGAAGTTCTCTTTACATAGGACAGAAAAACATATGTTGTAAAAATTTCACATGACCTATTTAGTTAAAAACAAATAAATTACAAAACTTACACGATAAAAATAATCATACATATCATTCTTTAGCCTATAAGTAAAGACATTCAACCAAACATAAAAAACATGCGTATGCTAATCTTATGAGTTATTGAGAATTGAACTTCAAATATGATACAAATGAATGAATAAAACATTAGCTTTTCCACAACTTTAGGAGAAGCCTCACTGGGCAAGGTCACTGACGGGGCACAGAGAACCAAAAGGTAAACAGAAAATTTAAATTCAAAAATAAATAGCATTAGAAATACAGCTCAGGACAAAAAGTCATGCTGAGGAGAGTGGAAAGAAACAGCTGGTGGTACCTTGGGAGGTTTGGTGCTTCGACCAGTTCTGACATCCTTCACATAGGTCAGATCCAACAACTCTGTGTCCTAATAACACAACCAAAACAAATCAAACACAAGTATTTAGAAACAACCAGTAAA